GGCGGCTCGCCAAGGCCTGCGGCTACACAGCCTGCAGCGGGCCGAGCAGCTGGCGCGGCTGGGCCTGCGGGCGGAGCGGCGGCGGCTTCGGCGAGCGCCTCGGCGACCTCGGGCGCGGCGGCGGTGCAGCCCGCGGTGCGCGAGGGCGTGCAGGAACTCTTCGTGCCCGCCCTGGAGGGCGTCCTCCGCGCGCACGGCTTCGCGTCGGCGGAGGACGCCCGCGCCCGAGGGCGCGAGGCAGCCCAGGCGCGCGGGGAGCGGGACCGCGCGCGGGAGCGCGGCGCTGCGGCCCCGCGCGCGGCGAGGAGGCGGGGCCAGCGCTGGTGAGCGCCCCCCTCCTCGGCCGCCGCGGGGCCCGCCGCAGTCCCGCGCCGTTTGCGCGGGCGAGCGGCAGCGCCCGTGAATTCGTGGCATGACCACGCGGGTGCTTGCGCCCGCTCGAAGAGTAAAAAAAAAGAGAAAGGATTCCTAAGGACTCCTAGAGATTCCCAAGCATTCCTTGGGATTCCCAAGGATTCCTTGGGATTCCCAAGGACTTCTAAGGATTCATCGGAATTCCTATGGATTCCTGAGGATTCCTCATGATTCCAAAGGGTTCCTAAGGATTCCTCAGGATTCCTAAGGGTTCTCAAGGATTCTCACGGATGCCTAAGAATTCCTATGGGTTTCTAAGGATTCCTAGGGATTCCTAAGGATTCCTCAGGATTCCTATGGATTCCTAGGGATTCCTAGGTAGTGAAATCCTTGGGAATCCTGGCAAATCCTAAGGATTCGCTGGTCTTCCCAAGGATTTCACTAGGGACCCGGACGCGCAGGGCGTCCGGTTTGCGTATGGAGTCGTTATGATTCGCTCGAGTTCCCGAGGAATTCCTAAGGATTCCTAGGGATTCCTCAGGATTCCTACGGATTCCTGAGGATTGCTAGGTAGTGAAATCCCTAGAAATCCTTGCAAATCGTAAGGAGTCGCTGGGTTTCCGAAGGATTCCACTAGGGACCTGGACGCCCAGGGCGTTCGGTTTGCGCAAGAGTCTAAGGATTCGCTAGGGATTCCTAGGGATTCTTAAGGATGCCTAAGGATTCGCTCGGGATTCCTGGGGATTCTTAGATTCCTGAGGATTCCTGAGGATTCCAAGGGATTCGCGAGGGATTCCCACGGATTCCTAAGGATTCTTATGGATTCTGAAGGATTCCAAAGGATTCCTACGGATTCCTAGGGACTCCTGGGTAGTGAAATCCTTGGGAATCCTTGCAAATCCGACAGACCCTGGGTTTCCGAAGGATTCCACTAGGGACGCGGACGCCCAGGGCGTTCAGTTTGCGCAAGGAGTCTGGAAGGATTCGCTAGGGATTCCTAGGGATTCCTAAGGATTCCTAAGGATTCCTAGGGATACCTAGGGATTCCCAAGGATCCCTTCCCCCGACCCCGTGCCCGACGGCCTCCACGACAGCTCCCTACTCAACGCGGCCACTTCTGCGTCCCCCCACCCCAGGACCCCTCGCCCGACCTGACGGCCCCAACGACCCCATTGCGACGCCGACGCCGACGGCCGCCAAGGTGGGCGCGAGGGTGGCCACGGCCACCAGGAAGGCCCCCGCGACAGCACCCCCGACGGCCCCAACGCTGGCCTTACGGACGATCCCCACGACCACCACGGACACCACGACAGCTCCGACGAAGTGGAGGCAGACTAAGTGGAGGAGGGTGCGCCCGCCCCAGGGCCTTGGGCAAGCGGTTGCGTGCCGCGCGCGCGCCACTCCCCTTGCGAGGGGCGGCCGCAGCACCCGGCTGCGCAACGAGAGCGAGAGGGGCGAGCAGCGCGGCCTTCAGCCGCACGCTTCAGCGCAGCGCCTAAACTCTGGCAGTTTCTGCGGCGAACACAGCGTCTACGCCCAGCCCAACTCCTCAGACGAGACAGACGACGAGGAGGACGAGGACGAGACCTCTCACGACTCCGACGCGCCGAACCCACCCCTTGCCGCCTGGCGACAGAGCCGGCGGCAGCTCCAGCGGAGATGACGACTATCTCCCCCCTTCCCCACGACCTCTCTCCCCACGCCCCGCGACCCCTTTCCCGACGGCCCCTACCTACGACGGCCCCCCTCGACCCCCTGCCTTGCCCGACGGCCCCCGCGACCCCCACGACGGCCGCGCCCCGAGTGGTCGCGTGCCCCGAAAGGGAGCCCGCGAGGGGCAGGCCCGGGGAAGCGGCCATTTGAGCAGCCGAGGCCACGCCCCGACGGTTGGACGGCCACCGCGACGGCCGCGCCCCGAATGGCCGCGTGCCCTGAGAGGGAGCCCGCGAGGGGCATGCCCAGGGAAGCGGGCGTATGGGGCAGCCGAGGCCACTCCCCGACGGCTGGGCGGCCCAGAAGACGGGGCGAGGTGGTGAGCCGTTGCAAATCAGCGGCCAGATGCCTGGGAACCACGAGTCACCTCACCCTGCCTCCCCCTCCCTCCCGGCCGTTCTCGCCCCACTGACCCACACCTCCCTCCCTTCGCATCTTCTCATCGGGCTCCCTCGATCCCCCCAGTCCGAGGCGGGAACTTATCCATAACCACCGCCTGGGGGATCGACCGTCTCGGACCTCCACAAGCGGTGGATCTGGACATCTTCGGGCCCCAGGGGGGCAAGCATGTCCATAGCCGCCGCCCGCTATAGTGCACCAGGACGTCGGTTCCCAGGCGGTGGATCCGGACAGACCCCCGCCTCCCGGGCTCCCCCCGTCTCCGCGGCCGCCCCCCGGAAGCCCCCCTCTGGCGCGGCAGCCTGGCGGGCGGAGGGCAGAGGCAGGGGCGGGCGCAGCGAGGCGAGGAGGGAGGCATCGGGGGCACGGCTCGGGGGGGATGGGCTCAGGGGGGGACGCATAGACCGACCCCCAATCTCCTCCTCCCTCCTCCTCCTCCTCCTCCTCCTCCTCCTCCTCCTCCTCCTCCTCCTCCCTCCTCCTCCTCCTCCTCCTCCTCCTCCTCCTCCTCCTCCTCCTCCTCCTTCTCCTCTCGTAAATCGGGCATGTCCCTCTACAGTCAGGCGATCGCAAGCATGGATCAAGGGGGCGTGGATTAGCGACGGGTCCCCTTGCCATGGGAAATCGCAGGCTTCCGCCGCCGAGCGAGGCAGCACCGGCCGCATTTTGGGGAGGGCACCTCCCTCGATCTATGGATTTGGCAACCGCGCGCCAAGTCCATGGATCGCTGATCCATGTCTGCGCGCCCCCGACAATCGCGCATGCATCGCCGATACGGGCCCGATGACCCACCCGCCCGGGAACGCTCGGATTCGCAATCGGGGGCCATCGCCGATCCATCGGTCATGTCGTCGATTTCGGGTCGTTGTCCCCCTGTTTGTTTGGCCCCCTCCTAGCCTTTCCCTTCAAGGGGCGGCTGGATGTGTGAGGATGCAGCGCATGTGTGCCTTCTTTACGTTGGAGCGATGGTGTCTGTGCGCGCGAACTCTTGGCTGCTTCGCTCGGGGCGAGCAGACGTCCTTGGCTGCACCGTCTGCTTCTCTTCCTCCAGGTCGATCATTTCCAGAACCCCAGAATCCGACGCTTCAACAAAAAATTGTGCGGGCGGTTTGGGGCTGATTCCTGTCTCCGGGGGCCCTCGCCGGGCCTCGGGCACGTCAAAAACCGGCTCGGGGCGAAAGACCGGCCCTATGGGGAAGTGGTCTCTGGACCTCGGGGGCCCACGCATCGAACAAGTTGGAGCAGCCGGACGTCTCGGAGCGTGTGTTGGCGCCAATCCGTGTGCCTGCCAACCGAAGCGTTTCAATACTCCGCAGGCGGTGCGGCGAGGGCCGACACTGGCTGCTCGCCATCGGCGGAAATGGAGCTGGCAAAAACCTTCCCTTGGGGCGCCTCGGGCGAACACGCGTCCTGAGGAGCAGCGGCCAGAGGAGCACCTGGCCAGGGGGGCAAGGGCAGCCGTGGGGGCCTCGGGGGCGGGCCAGGGCCCGTCGCCGTAGGGCCGAGCGGGGGCGCCGGCTCCGGACTGCGCAGCAGCGCCGTGCTCGGCGGGAGTCGGCGCCCGCCCCCCCCTGCGGCCTGCCGTTGGGTCGTGGCCGTCGGGCGGTCGGGCAGGCCCCGATCGGAGGAGAAGGCACGGCACAAACAGAAACTGTCGGAGCTCCGCGCGCATTTCTTGGATCTGGCGTGCTCCGCGCGCCAGGGATTCAGCGCAGAACCAAGAGAATCCGCCCGGGGCCTCCAACAGGTTATACGTATGCAGTTGTTATGTTTGTTATCTCTCTTTGCTTGTTTTATTTTGTTGGTCTCTTTCTCTTTCTCTTTTTTTTTTTTCTCTCTCTCTCTCTCTGTCTCACTCAAACCGACATGCTTGGCCGCCCAAGTCGGGTCCGAGGAGGATCGCGCCACACCGCTGATGCATCGGCGGTACGTCTCGATGTGGAGCCCGATCTTCTCCGCGCCAACGACGCCGACGCATCTCCGACGTCGCGGATGCATCGCCGATGCATCGGCGATGCGGCGCGATCCTCCGACCCCAGGTACTCGGATCTCACTTGGGATGCCGGAGGCGGATCACCTGAGGGAGAGAATGAGAGACAGAAAGTGAGAGCGCGAGGGAATGTTCGTCGCGCCTGCCTTAAGTCGGGCCTGTCCCTCTACAGGAGGAAGATTCAAAAATACTTACAAATAGTCTGGGAACGATGTTTCGACCTTTTTGATGATTTTTTAATTTCTTGGAGTACTTTTTATTTTTCGCCCAAAATCCGCCTGTAGGGGGACATGCCCGACGTGGTCCGCGCGGAATTCTTAGATAGGCGCTGGGCCCCCTGGCGGCGCCTCCAACGCCACCCCTGGCGCACTCCGCGCGCCAGGGAGGGGACTCCAGCGCCAGTCCAAGAAATCCGCGCAGACCTTCGAGAAATTGTGTTTATGCTGTTGTACGCTCCTCTATAGAGAGAGAGAGAGAGAGAGAGAGAGAGAGAAAAAAAAAAGAAAGAGAGAGAGAGAGAGAGAAGAGAGAGAGAGCGCTGCAGGATTCCTGCTGTGCGACGGTGTGCGGAGAAGCCAGCGACGATGACAGCTCCAGGAGCGGTTGCTCGGTACCTCGCCGGGTCCGCCGGGGAGGGGAGCAGAGAGAGAACGAAGGTGGTTGCCGAGGGATGCGCGATGGTAGGACCCAGAGTTAAACAGTCACGGGGTGGACGTGAAAGGAGGAGGGGGAGAAGGTGGGGGGGAGGAAACGGAGGAGGAAGACCAGTGAAAATCTAAGGCGACGACGTTGCACTAAATTTTCCCTCCGAAACCCTCTGCCGTAGGTCTCTATTATAATATTTGTGCAATGTGTAGGCGGGGAATGCCCCATTGAAAGACCATTGGCTCAGAATCTTCAATCGTGCCAAAGCACAAATCTTGGGACTCCAATGCCGCGAATCAACGTGACTGTTGCGTCCTGACGACCCTAAAATATGCAAGAATACAATTCCTGGGATTTCAAAGCAGCGGATCAACGTGACTATGGCGTCCTGACAATCCTAAACGGTGCCAGAACACCATATTGAGAGTTCGCCCTTGCGATTTTCTCAATTGTCGCAAACTTTGAAAAGGATGTTCGCGGCGCTAAGGCAACAACCACATTTTGAAAATGAGCCGCCATCCATCTTTGAAGCTGTTGCAAGCTTTTATGAGGAGTGGACGCTGACGTATGTGACTGTCTGCTACAGCGCTTGGGGGGGGGGCGCGCGCCCTGACGGCGTTCCTGGTCGCACGGGGCTATGACGAGGATCAATCCGTTCCTGTGCGTTCCGGAACGCCCTCAGAGCGTTCCGGCACGCTCCGAGAAGGCCGCGGCGCTCGAGACACCCTCCAGAGCCGTCAGATCCCAGAGAGCTACGATTCTTACCCCAACCGGATGTCATGCTCGTCCTGGCTTCGTCCTACCTGGGCGCCAGCGGCGCGGTGGCGGTCGACGGGGAGGCGAATGAACGCCGTCCCCAGACCCTCGACGTCGTGATTTTTTCACAACGTCGACCCCCAGAGGTCCCGACCCCTTCGCCAGGACAGGTTTATCATCCTGAGTCGTTTGTTTACGCTCCCGAGGCCCAGTAAGGGCCCCCAGAGGCCGACAAGAGCGAAACACCTCCCGTCGTGTTTCTATTCGCAACTCGACGGGGCCTGGGTCGTTGCCCTCGCTGGCCCACGAGGCGGCGGACCTGTTGGGCAGAGTGGCGCTGCGCCACCTGCGCCAGCTGGCGCGGGGTCGCGAGCGGGCCTTGGGCGACGGCCCCGCCGCCGACGCGGCCGCCCAAGCGCGCTGGCGCAGCGCTGGGGCGCAGAGCCCACTGTGGCGCCCCGCCGCGCCACCGCGCGGCAGTTGCGGGGTCCCTTGCCCCCCCCCGTCCCCCCCTGCTCTCAGAGGAGAGAGAACGCCGTGACCATAAACCTTTGGCGCTCCGCGCGGACTTCTTGGATCTGCGCTGTGCCCCTGGCGCGCGGAGCGCGCCAGGGAGGGGGGTCCAGCGCGGATCCAAGAGATCCGCGCGGACCTCCGAGTTTGTGCGTATGTGTCATTCTTCGTTCCCCCCTTTGCTCACCCCCCTCCCGGTGGTTCTCCACGCTGCTCCGCCTCCCCTCCCTGCGTCCTCCGCCTGGCCCCGTTCCTCACCCTCTTTGCTCCTGCATCCTCCGTCGCCCCTCCCCTGTCTCGGCTCCTTTTTATCCATCCTTCCTCATGTTGTGCCTTCTTCCTTTTCATCGCCCCCTCCTCCTGCCCACGTCAGTTGTCCCTTTTCCGTAGCCGTGGTCAAGATGTGTGGAGGGCGGGCGTTTGCCACGCTACGACTGCAGGTCGCAGTTCTCCCACGCACAGCACGCACATCGTCCCAGCCCAGCCCTCTGGGGTTCGTGCGAGACGACTCTAAGCGCGCTCCAGATGCACAGTTGCTGTTTGCTCAGTCTATATTGCTTTATGCGTGGCGTTGCCATGTGGGGCGTTCCAAGAAGGGCCTTGCATTCGAGGATAGAAGAAGTTATCATCTCTTCCGCGGCGGAAGGTCGGCGGAAGTAAAACGAGGCCGCCTCCGCCGGCGGAAGCATGCGGAGGGGCGGCGGAAGGTGGCGGAGGTGAAAGATGTGCCCCCAAGAGATGACAACGTTTTTGGACTCGGGGGTTCCGAACTCCGCCACGCGGGTTTTGATCGGCGCTCGCGGGCCATGCTCGCCGCGAGACTCCGGCAGGACCCCCTCTTGGGGGGCACGGCTCGACGGTGCCGCGGCCTCCGTCGGCGGCGACCTGCCGCCCTCGGCTCCGCGACCTGCGCGCGGGGCAGCGCGGCCCCCGGGCCGCCGCCGCCCGGGGCGCCCGCTCGACCCGGCGGCCCCCCGGGGGGGCGGCGCGCCAGGCAGGCACTGGCGGGGCGCCGGGGCGGCGGGGCGCCGAGGCGGCAGGGCGCAGTCACAGCGTGGGGTCGGGCAGGGCCCTCCACGGTGAGGAGTGTGCAAGAGAGTGGTGCAAGAAATGGCCCGGCGACGATGCTTCGTGTCTTTGTTTCGCTGTTTGTGGCAATTTTCTTTCGATCATGTTTTGTCTTTCTTCCAAGATCCGCCCGGAGGGGGACATGCCCGACCCCATCACAGCGCGCAGCGCGGAAACGTTCCTGCCGAGGCCCAACCAGGCGGATGCCCCGTGGGTGGCCAGCGGGCCACGTCGGTAGATTCACGGGTCGATCCGATGGATGGCGCCGCTACCCGCCAGCGGTTCCCACATTTGGAAGCGGATCTCACCGCGAAAGTCGTCGAGGCTGGCCGCTGCGGTTTCGGGGCGGCTGCCGTTGGTGATCACGGCCAGCAGCGAGCCGCTTTCCTCATCCACCTCCAAGCGCTTCAGCATGGTCTGCGATCTACGCGGTCTCGCGGACTTGGGCCTTCAGTCTGGCAGGGAGGGTCTCCACTGCTGCCTGGGGCCGGCGAGCGCACGCTGCTCAGATCGTCGGCCTGGCCAGGGAAGGCGTCGGCCAGCACCGCGTGGAGGCCTGCACTGCGGACTGGTTCAGCTGCGCGTCCTGCCGGCTCGGGGGAACGTGCGAGCTCGGCGGAGGCCCGTCGGCTCCGCGCTGCGTGTCGGCGGAGCTGACCTGGGGCGTGCCAGGAACGGCCTTGCCTTCGAGGATCGAAGGGGTTGGCGTCTCCTCCGCGGCGGAAGGACGGCGGGAGTGAAACGAGGCCGCCTCTGCAGGCGGAGGCTCGGCGGAATCGAGGAAGGAAAAACGCCATAAACATCAACTTTTGGCGCTCCGCGTGGGTTTCTTGGATCTGCGCTGGACCCTCCTCCCTGGCGCGCGGAACGCGCCAGGGGCGGCGCTGGAGACGCCGCCAGGGAGGGACCCAGCGCGGATCCAAGAAATCCGCGCGGAGCGCCAAAAGTTTGTGTTGTTATGGCGTTTTTTCCCAACCATCCTGTGGTGTTGGGTCCTCGTTTTGAAGAGACGTCGCCCCGCGTTCCTCCTTCCTCCTCCTTCCTCCTCCTCCCCTTCCTCCCCCCTCCTCCCCCTCCCACACCCATTCTGGCACACCCCTCACACGTTTCGTGGCCCCATAGGGAGCTCCACCGAAGGCCCCAGTGGCTGCGCCCGCATGCGGTTCCACCCCCCATTCTGGCACACCCCTCACACGTTTCGTGGCCCCATAGGGAGCTCCACCGAAGGCCCCAGTGGCTGCGCCCGCATGCGGTTCCACCCCCCATTTTGGCACACCCCTCACACGTTTCGTGGCCCCATAGGGAGCTCCACCGAAGGCCCCAGTGGCTGCGCCCGCATGCGGTTCCACCCCCCATTCTGGCACACCCCTCACACGTTTCGTGGCCCCATAGGGAGCTCCACCGAAGGCCCCAGTGGCTGCGCCCGCATGCGGTTCCACCCCCCATTCTGGCACACCCCTCACACGTTTCGTGGCCCCATAGGGAGCTCCACCGAAGGCCCCAGTGGCTGCGCCCGCATGCGGTTCCACCCCCCATTTCGGCACACCCCTCACACGTTCGTGGCCCCATAGGGAGCTCCACCGAAGGCCCCAGTGGCTGCGCCCGCATGCGGTTCCACCCCCCATTCTGGCACACCCCTCACACGTTTCGTGGCCCCATAGGGAGCTCCCCCATAGGGAGCTCCACCGAAGGCCCCAGTGGCTGCGCCCGCATGCGGTTCCACCCCCCATTCTGGCACACCCCTCACACGTTTCGTGGCCCCATAGGGAGCTCCACCGAAGGCCCCAGTGGCTGCGCCCGCATGCGGTTCCACCCCCCATTCTGGCACACCCCTCACACGTTTCGTGGCCCCATAGGGAGCTCCACCGAAGGCCCCAGTGGCTGCGCCCGCATGCGGTTCCACCCCCCATTCTGGCACACCCCTCACACGTTTCGTGGCCCCATAGGGAGCTCCACCGAAGGCCCCAGTGGCTGCGCCCGCATGCGGTTCCACCCCCATTCTGGCACACCCCTCACACGTTTCGTGGCCCCATAGGGAGCTCCACCGAAGGCCCCAGTGGCTGCGCCCGCGCCGTGGCATAGGGAGCTCACCCCCCATGCTTCCCCCCCCATTCGGCACACCCCTCACACGTTTCGTGGCCCCATAGCTCCACCGAAGCCCTGCATGCGGTTCCACCCCCCATTCGGCACACCCTCACACGTTTCGTGGCCCCATAGGGAGCTCCACCGAAGGCCCCAGTGGCTGCGCCCGCATGCGGTTCCACCCCCCATTTCGGCACACCCCTCACACGTTTCGTGGGTGGCTCCACGGGGAGCTCCACCGAACGCCCCAGTGGCTGCGCTCGCATGTGGTTCCCCCCCCTTTCGGCACACCCCTCACACGGTTCGTGGCCCCATAGAGAGCTCCACCGAAGGCCCCAGTGGCTGCGCTCGCATGCGGTTCCACCCCCTTTTTCGGCACGCCTTTCACACGTCTCGTGGCCCCATAGGGAGCTCCACCGAACGCCGCAGTGGCTGCGCTCGCATGCGGTTCCACCCCCCATTTCGGCACACCCCTCACACGTTTCGTGGCTCCATAGGGAGCTCCACCGAAGGCCCCAGTGGCTGCGCTGGCATGCGGTTCCACCCCCCATTCTGGCACACCCCTCGCACGTTTCGTGGCCCCATAGGGGGCTCCACCGAAGGTCCCAGTGGCTGCGCCCGCTTGCGTCCGCCACCACCCAGCACAGCCCTTGTTCCCTGCGCTTCACCCACCCAAAGCAGCGCTTCGTAGCCCTATAGGGAGCTCCACCAAAGGTCCCAGCGGCACCGCCCGCATGCGTCCGCCACCACCCTGCACAGCCCTTGCTCCCTGCCTGCGTTTCACCCACCCAGTACAGCGCTTCGTTGCCCCATAGGGAGCTCCACCGAAGGTCCCAGTGGCACCGCTCGCATGCGTCCGCCACCACGCAACACAGCCCTTGCTGACCGCGTCTCACCCACCCAGTACAGCGTTTCATGGCCCCATAGGGAGCTCCACCTAAGGTCCCAGTGGCACCGCCCGCATGCGTCCGCCACCACCCAGCACAATTGCGGCATTCACAACTGCATATGGTTGGGTCCTTCGCCAAGCTAATTCTTCTCCGACGGAAGGCGGCGGAAATAAAAATGCGCCCCCGAGAGATGACAATGTTTTTGGGTTCAGGGTTAGGTCGGGAATGTCCCCCATACATTCGGATTCTGGCCGAAACATTGAAAGTAATCAAACAATATTCCAAAAACGGCCCAAAAAAGTAAACAAAAAAAAAACGTCCCCAGACTATGTTTAAACTATTTTTGCGTATTTCTCCCGTCGAGGGACGTGCCCGATTGAAGTTCCCGGCTTCAGAAATACGCCCGCGTGGCCTGCCGCGCAGGGCGCGCGCCCCTCGCGGCACCGCCGGCCTGGCGCAGCGCGCCAGGCCGGCGGAGGGCGGCGAGAGGCTGCGCAGCGAAGGAAGCTTTTCAAGTCGGGCGCGTGCCTCTACATGAGGATTATGCAAAAGTAGTCAACAAAAGTCCTCCTCCTCCTCCTCCTCCTCCTCCTCCTCCTCCGCCTCCCGCCTCCGCCTCCGCCTCCGCCTCCGCCTCCGCCTCCTCCTCCTCCTCCTCCGCCTCCTCCTCCTCCTCCTCCTCCTCCTAGTTTGGGGACTATTTTTGGAGTGTGTTGTGACTGTTTTTTGTGTTTCACCCGAAATCCGCCTGTAGGAGGACATGCCGGACCTGAAGCAAGCTGGCGCGCGCGGGCCGCGACACGGGGATGCTTTCAGTGTATCGTCGGAGGCCTAGAAGTTGACATCAGCACCAACATCGGCGGTGTGCCTCCACCGAGGGCATTTGCTCCCGATCTCGGGGGTGGTGGTAAGAATCGCGCTTCCCAGATGGCCGAGATATTTCCACCGACGCCAGAGTCTGGTGCTATCTTCTCCCCGTGGAGGCACCCCTCCGTATTGGCGTCGGTGTCCATTCTCGAGCCTCCGACATAGGTCGGCCACGCGCAGGCCCTGAGATCCCGGCTTTGCAACGTTTTCTCACAACGGGCGATCTCGCCCGGTTTCGGGCCCCGGGAGCCTCACAAGATCGATCCAGCTCGAAGAATGACGCAGAAAGTTGGGGTCTAGGGCTCCAGCCGCTGGTTTCAATGTTTGTTGCTACGTCGGATCTCATTGGAATGTGGTTGGGGGAGGGGGGAAGGCTTCTAGAAGCACCCTTGCTTCTTAGAAGGCGCGGGCCTGATCCATATAGTTAGGGGTGGGGCAGGCGCCTTCTCAGAGGCAGCCTCATTCTAAGAGGCCTTCCCCCCTCCCCCGTGTATCCCCCTCTGCGCGCCGCCACGCAGTGGGAGCCGGTGGCAGCAGCCAGTCACGGCCTCCGAGCCTGCGACGGCCCAGCGCCACCTGTCCGCGCCCACCGACCTCAGGGTCAAGCGTGAGACTGGCGAGCCTGCCGGGTCCTTTTGCGGAAAGCCCTTCTGTTCAAGTGGCTTGCGCCATTCCGCCGATCCCCCAGAAGGAGTCAGAACTTGCGACGACCGCGGACGTTCTCCAGTGGCCTTCGGCCCAGCCCGCCACCGTGCCTGGGCCTGGGCTGGGGATCAGGAGCCTTTGGGACGAACATGAGGTTCTCTTGTTGTGCCTCTCAGGGGCCTCTTGAAGGGTTCTTGGGTACATCTGTGAGGCTTTTTGAAGCCTCTGAGGGGTATCTTGGGGCCTTTTGGGGGGCGTCTTAGAGGCCTCTTGGGGGTGCCTCGGGAGCCTCTAGGGGCTCTCGGGTGGGAAAGCTGAAAGTATCAGTTCGTATTTCCCCCCTTGAGCTGTCTTGGGGCCCTCTTGCTCTCATGGGCTGTCTTGGGCGGCCTTGGGTCCGTCTCAGGGCCCTCTTTGGCCAGCTTAGAGCCCTCTTTGGGGCCTCATCGGCCGTCTTGTGACGATCTTGAGGGTCCCTTGTGCAGTCGTAGAAGCTGCAACACTACGAAAAATGCAAGCGCTCCAAACATGTGCGCTTTCGGGCCGTCTTGGGGGCCTTCTTGACCATCTTGAAGTCATGGGAACGCTTTTGGGCCGTCTTGGGGGCCTTGTGGACCATCTTGAAGTCATTTTGGATCCTCGTGAGTCTACTCTGGGCCGCCTCGGCGCTTTCCTCGACTGTCTTGACGCTCTGTCTTGGCCCCCTTGGAGCTATTTTTGGAGGCTCCAGGCTCCAGGAGTGCGTTGGCGAGCTCGTCGCCCCCCTCCCCCCCCCAAACAGCCAAAATTAATCGCAATTTCTCAGGAAAATAAAGGAACATGTGGGAAGTGGAGCGGAGGGCGAAAACCCAGAAACCATAGGAACAAATGCGGAATCCTGGGTTCTGTGTGTATCCATTTGTGTGCCCTTGGGCCCCTTCCATTTTGGACCTCGGGGGAGAGGGAAAGGGGGGCGGGGACAGCCGAATGTCTCACACGCCTTTGTCACTCGGGGGACAGCGGGGGTCGGCGGTCATCACCAGGTCTGGGCAGCGCCCCCCCCTTCAGGTCGACAGCCTCGTGCTGGCGAGGTGCAGCCCGGAGATCCAACGCATTCTGAACAAATCTAGTTTTTTTTTGTTCTCCCAAATTTTCGGCGGAGGCTTGTACGTACTGGTGCAATCCAAGACGGAGGTTTTCTTTTCAATTTCCGGCCTCTATAGGAGCCCTCGCCGGGCCCCGTGGCCGTCAAGGAGCGATTCGGGATGAGAACAGGGCCCAGGGAATCGGTGGAGACTTCCGAAGACCCCACGTTGAAAAGAAATCACGACAGCGGATCCCTGGGAGTGCGAGACGCGCCAACCGCTCAGCACACAATCGGGGGGGGGGGGGGCGGCAGAACGGGCACGCCCAGGGACAGGCAGGGCGATGCAGCATGCCCCGTCCAGGTCTAGCGGCCGAGGCCCGTGCTGGCGGCTGAGGGGAGGGGTGGAGGCAGGAGAGCGAGACGGGGCAGGAGGGGCCTCCTCCTCCTCCTCCTCCTCCGAAGGGCCAGGGAACCCCGAGGAGAGATGAGGACGAGGAGGCGATGAGCAGGAAAGAGGGGCCAGGAGGACGAGGATGACGAGGACGAGGAGGGGGGCGAGGTCCTGGGGCGTTACGTCATGAAGATGGACGACCACGACGTCCTGGGCGAGGGGACCTCCAGCATATGCCGCCGCGGCATCGACGAGGAGACGGGCAACGAGGTGCGCGCGGCGGGGGGTGCCGACGCCCCCGCCCCTCTCCCTTGTGGGTGTGGGGTGGTGCTGCGGTGCCGTCGTCGTCGTCGTCGTCGTCGTCGTCGTCGTCGTCGTCGTCGTCGTCGTCGTCGTCGTCGTCGTCGTCGTCGTCGCCGTCGCCGTCGCCGTCGTCCCGTCGCCGTCGCCGTCGCCGTCGCCGTCGCCGTCGCCGTCGCCGTCGCCGTCGCCGTCGCCGTCGCCGTCGCCGTCGCCGTCGCCGTCGTCGTCGCCGTCG